GAGAGAGAGAGAGAGAGAGAGAGAGAGAGAGAGAGAGAGAGAGAGAGAGAGAGCGTTGGCCAAAAATCAGCTGTCTTCCCTCGTGGAGGACCTCACTGAGCCTCACACTCGAGAACTCACTGCAAACTCACATAGCAAACAGGTTTGCAGGCCCATAAGTCCTTTCGCATTTTGTAGTTGGCCCTTATGTTGAGCCTTATCCGACACACACGTACACTATTGACAATATCTTTCTAGAGGAGAGGATACAAAACACAAAACTTGACAAAAAACATATTATAGGAGCAGCAACAGGAACCGCCTTCCACTGCCTGGTTCAGTTAGATACCCTCGACATTTTTATTAATTAGACAAACCAACTAGTAAGCCCAAAATTCAAGAATGAGATTGAAAATGGATCAAAATTGGACATTCGGTTTTATTGGTGATATTTCAACAACAATAGTCTTACTAAGAAATTTCATGATTTGGGAGAAAATTCTTCTACAAATCCTCAACTGTCAGCACTAGCCGTTCACCCTGACAATACTGCTTACAATAGTTGATGGAAATGTGCTGAAGAGTACCGCGTGGGTAAAGCTTCAGTGGCTTCAGTTCCTGCTGAATGGTCGACAGATCATACTCATGTTGGCGGTGTACCCACTGTTCGTCGCAATCATCGGGAACAATGGTCAGCCGGCGAAGGGAGGGAAAGACTCGGCTCGGTTGAAAGATTGCTCCAAAATCGCAACTTTTGTCAAACTCCCAGCTCAGCGCCAAATTGGTCACCCGCGGCAGTGGCGGAAGTTCTTCAGGCACAAGGTACATTGGTCTCTTCCAGAACAAATGAAGATTAAATGTGGTCAGCTTTGGAAAGCTACTGGAAAGGGTGGTGAACAGTGGCAGCAGACTTTTTGAGTCCCAAGGTTCAGAATAGTTGTGTAGGTGAAGGAACTTGATGTTTGCTAGGTGGCAGAGTTTAAGCTGGTCATTAGAAAAGAAGTCGATTGCGTAAAGGTGGTCCACATGACTGATGGCCACTTCATCCTTCCACAGTTTCTCTGGTGAAAGCTCTTTATTGTAAGCAGTATACGGATAATGCACAAGTCGCACCTTAAGCTGTGAATTTTCCGAAGCAAACTTCAGCATTGAGTAGTAAAGAATGTCAGCGTGGTAGGGTGATTCGAAGCTGAAGGTGTGCAGACGGCGCAGAACAGGCAGGTACAGACTGCCCGGGGCGAGAATTTTACATGTTCGATTGGAATAATTGCAAACATTATCATTGAAAAAGAAGGGCTTGTTAGTGTTGAGTTTCAAATGCCGCAGTTGAGGCATTTTGTAGTTGATGAGCGAGAGAAGGCGATGGAAATTGGCAGAAATGACAGGC